TTCGTGCGTATTAAGATTCTTACAATAGGCAGTAAAACTATTCATACTCCCATATAAATTATAAATATGTAAATGTTAATAAAAGCGGTGTATATATTCTCTCACATGTAGATTTGATAAACTATTTATGAAACTACATCTATTCTGAATTTATCAGGCAAGATATAAAAACGAATAAAACATGAACATGTAAAAAGTAACATTAATAAAATGTCCATTAACGATGCATTTAGAATAAATTGTCTTGTAGTTAAGTGAAAAAATATATACTTTTCCATTTCATGTTTCATGACTGACATATTTATCTCTTTCCCGTCAAATCATATAGATACACGCAATATGAATGGAATATATAACACTTCATTTGTGCTAATAATACTCAGAATTCGTGCTTTATCGGTAACGTCGGGTATTGACACTAAAATGGTAAGGGGCTTCTAACGCCCTCGAAGCATGGGACAGAAAATTACATTGTATGTAGGTCTATTCATATATCTCGTCTGTGTCTATATATAGGGTGGATTAGATATACACACTGTTCAATGACTGTTACCACCATTACTTGTATCTCTGTTATTTTTAGAGATATGTATCAAAAAAGTTTAATCACGGAAGTTATTGAGTAACGAAACGTATTAAAACAATATTATACATATGTATGTATATACCGCACTTTCTCTAACGAAAAATATACGAGTTAAACGCGACACCGTATGTATATACTCTGCTTTTTCCATGCTGGACGAAAAAGTGGGGTGTGCGCCGTGTGTCAGCATGACGCGGCGGGGTGGGGTGTTCCTATGTAACAATAAAATGTTTCAATAAACGAGCTCCTACTTGTACATTTTGTAGATAATGTGTCGTAGCAGTTTCCTATCTAATCCGGGCTCGTTTATTTTACGCGACGTCCGAAAGGTGTCCTCGTGCGTTTTCGTAAGTAATCGTCTCGTCGCTCGAGTGTCGTTCGCATGGCGCCACGAGCGGGCTAGTCAGTCAGCCGCGAACCGCGGTAAAGTGAAGGTGTGGGGTGTGTTTCTGTGGGCTGACGGGCCAAAAATGGCGGAGCGTACGAAGACGACAGCCCCGGCCACCCGGCCCGTTCCTATGAAGCTGTTTGCCACCTGGGAAGTGGATCGTACAGCACCGGATTGCATACCCAGGTAATCGATAATCCACGTTCGTTTATCTGCCGGTTCGCGTTCTTTCGTGGCAGGTCCGTGTCATTATCCTGTGTCACAGTGGACGCCAGGGACTCGGCGGGCATTCACACGCCCTTTTTTCAAGTATCACTCGAATTTTTCCGTTCGCACCCTTGGCTCAAGGACGCCTGTCGTCGCGTACCGCGTCGGCCTTGCGTTGGATTTACGTGTTTCTTTTAGAAGATACGCGCCATAGGTTATTCGGGCTGCGTGTCCAGTCAGGACTGCGTGGCGCGCTCTGCCTACCGTTGGATGCTAGCTGTCAATCGGACGTGACAGATCTCGAAGCGCAGATCGTAATCTAGATCCTTGCTTTCTCGGCAACCTTATCACAATTCTATATCGTTGGTTGATTGATATTAATCTAATCTTTGTATCGTCTGCTTCTCCTTCTCTTCCCACGTTTGTTTACATTTACGATATTTAACGAATCAGGTGAATAAATTTGTACGAACAAGGTGCAAAATAAAGAGTCACGAAGTTTTATCCGCGTTCGACGATGAGATGCTCCAATGGGAACATACGACGTTGCAGCGACGGATGGTCATAGTTATGCGGGATTCAAACAAACAAGTTAAACAAACCCGTGCCGATTGCGTGTGTGTGTGCACGCGTGTTAGGTTAGAATACATTTCATCGGCGGTCTCGCTTGTGTCCTGCGAGGTGTATCGACGCAATGTCACAATGCCAGCTGCATCTTCAAAGCTATCATGGTCAATTCGATTTTCCATTCTGTGACGCAACGTAGTGCCGCTATTTTTCATTGCACATTTCTGTTGCGTGGAAAGCGATGAATAATCCGGACGTAAACACCGAAATTTTATAGGTAGAAAAAGCTGCTGTCAGGTTTGCTTAAGCTGTGCAGTAATTGTTCATGTGCTTTTCTCATGTTCTTCATAAATGTTACAGTGTAACTGACATAGTTTTAGAATTAATAAATTAAATCGGTTTTCTTAGAGAACCTTAAAAACATGGATTATGACGTTCGCCTGTCATCGTTAAACGACCGGGCTAGTCAATCTTCGACCGTTTCTTCGACTTGAAGTCAGCATCATTCTGCCATTGACAATTACGGCTCGGTTTCGGAAGTTAGTTGTAAATCGAGTTTCCTCAGACAATCCCCTTTTGTTTGAACGGGCTTATCTGCGATCTGATTTGCCGTTCCAAAACCATTCATTCACGGTGGTACAATGCTCTAATTGATTCCAGCGCTAGATGGAAGGTACTATTTAAACACATTATCTTTTGGATTCAATTTCGGTTACTTCCACGTAGCTTTTCGGTCTATGTAACGTTCATGATTGGAAAATATTTCGATGTAGACTAAGACAGTTAAAACGAAACGTTGGACTGAAAGTATAACTTCGGAAAGTGTTAATGTTATTACTCCTGTGAATGAAAGTTGAAAGTTAATAACATTGTAAAATTTTTACTTAGAAATTGTACAGTATGGATAAACGTCACACTTGCTTCCGAGAAACTACATTCTATATTGATCACAAAAATATTTAGTTTTGCAAAAATACTTGCTTGGGGATATCATGGAAAATAATTTAACAAATGAAAGTTATTAATGTATCGAATTCTTTATGCAGAATTCTACGATGGCGTAAATCAAATTTTTGTTACGACTATGGTCGTAAATGTTATTTTTGTATAAAATGAATAATTATTACAATATTCATCACAAAATATTTATTTGCGAACGGAAAATTATATTACGCTAATGCTCCGAAAAACAATGTTAGACGATATCCAATAAGTTTCGAATTTTACTACGGGGAATCCGCAATCACGAATCCCATTGCCAACTTTCTGTGATAAAGATTCTCTTATTGCATTCTTAGGACGTAATTCACACGTGTCAAGTTAAAGGCGAATCCGCATGTACGCGACGACGAAATCAATATTTATTCTCAGGTTTATATAGTAATAAGTACATAAGTAATTAACCAATTAAAATTTGCCATTGCTACTACATTATAATTATAAAAAAGGTAGAAAGTAGAGAAATATAGCTTTTTATGTTTTGTTTGTTTCGTAAACCACAACTGTGTTTTACGATATCTAACAGCATTTTTCCGTAATACTTGCTGTGTATTTAACAATGTATAAGACTCTGAAAGTAACTGAATTTCCATATAAAGTAATATCAAATAATCAATTTCAGGATAGTGACAAATCGTACCTATAATAAACGAAACAATGAAGATTTATGAAATTACCTAATACCAGATAAAATAATAAAAGACTGTCGTTATAGATATAGATGGCTACGTAATCGTTATAGATTATATAGCAAGAATATGGTTTGGAAGAGTTCGTATGACTCATTTATAGTAAATAAACAAATAAATGAGACTACAGTAATATCTCGATGCGTGCGACGTCTTCGGGTCCACTTCGGAGCATTCGTGGGAAAGCGGAAAGGTTTTCAGACCCTCATCAATTTGTTTTTCACCCGAAGCCGAGCCTCTGTTTAACTTCTGTTTACTCTGTTTTGATTGGTTTAACAGGGGGACTCCCCCAGTGGTGGTAATAACGCAGTTCGTGCCGCATTCATCGAGGAATTACTGTAAATTGTTAATAAGAAGTTTGGAATCATTGTATGAATTGATGGAAACAGAGATTTACTTGCCAAAAAATTTAAGTAACTGTAGACAGTTGAATTTATTTAGAAAATTTTGTAACTAAAAGATTCAGTATTTGTTTCTAACTAGCATTTGTAAACAAGAACTGAATTTGTTACTCGATATGACTACTAAAAATGGAAAATGATTTCAAACTTTTGATAGGTACTATATGAACGATTGATGTGAATTCATATTGTCATAAACAGAAATTGATTCAGAAAAGAAAAACGTGATATTTGTAACAAACTGACAATGATCCTATTTGTATTATGAATAACGTCTCCAATATAATAGATACGTTACTTTATGAACGAGCAAACCTGCTTTGTTGTATTTTCTATCTTGTTTATAATTTTCCTTTTACCGTCGATTACACTGCATTTTGAACCCTTATTACGCTTCAAAAAGTTGTCAATAACTGGTCTGAATAGATCTTCACAAATTGATCCGTGCAGGGTACCAAAAAGGCGCCAACAACTGACTTGGAACTCGTCTATGTCCGTTTTCTAATACATATCGCTCGGGATCCCTTCGAATTGATCTAAATCACTGCCATTAATCTGTGTACATAATACAAAACACAGTACATATTCTTTCGACGTTTTTCATTACATCCGTTTACTAACATTTCTTAGAAAATTTTTTGGAGTAAACAGTTTCCCGAGCTTTGGCACGTTGCCTCGTCAAATCCAGTTTAATGGCCCCGGAAGGAAGTGGCTGTTTCATGTGGCATGTCGAGGGTTTGTGTATGTCCTATATTCTTCGAAACGGGGAGCAGATGCTTCGCGATCGGAGATGTCGAAATAATTTTAGGAGTCAAAATTTTAAAGAAACTGATTTTAGTAAACTATAACTTGTGTAGGTAGATAATATTGTATTTGCTAATTACAAAGGTTTCAACACAATAGTTTTATGACATTTATTGGGCTTGTGCAAATGTTTTTCGTACGTGTAAAGTATAGTTCAAGAAGAAGTTACTAAACTTCAATAATCGATATAAGATATGTTTTGAATATTTTCTTAGTGCTTCTATCAAAACTAGAGAATGCTCTTGTAAGAGATTTTTCATACGAAACACTCATTGTTCTCGTCATGCGACTGAACTTTAAGATTTATTCATGTAGGATAGACCGAGGCGAATCGGATCATTTTTTGTTTGATAGTAAAAAAATAATAGTTAAAGTTTAGAAAGCTAATTATGTTTTACAAGTTCGTAATTAGTACACATTTAATTTGACATTAATAATAAAAAAAATAAAAAAACTTAAAAATATTTCTTTTGCAAACAAAAAACGAAAAAGTGAAAAATATCCGATTCGCCCCACCTTTTGGTTTGAATCGGATAATCCACAAATCTCTGACAAAACTGAAATTTTCATAAAAAATGTCTTTAAATTGAAGAAAATGAAAATGCTCGCATTTCTGCTCACGCGCCTGTCCCTATTTCTGTTCAGCGAAAATGGAAGTGCCAAAATTAAATGTTGGCGAACAATATTAAAAATTCTGTAAGTTTTTTATAGTAAAAACGCAGCGTCCGCGTGTAACTCATGATTGCAACGGAACCGCTCAAATCACGTTTCTTTACGACGGACACACGTATTAAATTTATTTTGAATAAAATGATGTCATCTATTGAACAGCGGGCTGTAGCATTATGTACGGAAATATTGAACTAATTTAAATAATTTTTTGTACAACCTATTTATTGTTCAATTTTTACACTAAATACAAAATATACGTAGGTACTGAGCAGAAATCAGGACGTGATTAGAATATAGGGACATTGACCTTAGCTGTAAATTAGTCCACCACGAAAATCACAATTATCCTCCCCGACTGAAATCGCTGACATAAAGCTTCGTTAACGTCTCGTAATACGTATTAAATATTACGCCTTACATAACGAACGCGATTCTCGTAATGAACATGTGGTCCACCTGTTGGTCGCCAACAGCCGGGGCGAAATTTACCATATAAGGGAGTTGAATGAAACGATGAAACTTGCATTTGCTCGGGGGATACCATCGTAAATCCTCGTAACTTCCTGTTGAGAGATTCAGGAAGGGCGGATAACGACATTTCCATAAAAGATTCGCGAAATCACGTGTCCGATGTATCGCGTAATTCTTGAAATATGGAATGTAAGTGCTACGGAATGAATGTGTCGCGAACAACAGTTCACGAATCTCGAAAGTGTTTCAAAAAGTGGGTCGTGTTCTGTTTGACACGTTTGCTGCCAGACGAACAGCTATAAAAATTCTAACGAAGTTAAAGCAATTCTTTTCGTGAAAATAGAACTTCAAAAACTAAATTTGTCGTAGTAGCTGT